CATGTTAAAAAATGACTATCTTCAGGAGAGATGCTGTTGTTCTTCGACCACAAAGAAGAGATTGAATCACATACTCAAGTAATTGCACTAATGCAATCCAAGGAAGTAGAAAAAGCACTGATAACATGAGATTTTCATGAACCCAGCGTCATCAATCCCTCCTTCATAACAAAGAGAGAAGGGATAACGAAGAGCGCTGTTCACTTTCATGAATCCACCAACGATAAGGATGAGGACGATAAAGATGAATTAAATGAGAGGCTGCAAACAATCGTCAAGCAATTCTCAACGAACAACTTGACCATTCTAATGGATGACCCGAAATTTGTGGTTGACATGTACAACACTAGATATGAAGGCATCGTTGGGTGACATGCACTTAGGGGGGGGAACAACAATAGTGACAGGTTGTTTGCTCCCCCGACAAAATAGTCATTGGTGGCACCATATTCCCACACAAATGCATGCACAAAGCGAAATGGGTTTCACCAGATTGCACTACACAGAATCAAATCGACCATATCTCCACTGGTTAAAAGTTAGGTAGCATGATTAAGAACGTAAGAACCAACTGAGGATCTGACATAGCTTCATATCATCACTTGATGGTATCCAAAATGAAAATGAAACAGAGGAAGCACTGGACAACTGGGCGAACAGCACCACAGATGTTTAATTCTGTCTTTCTTCAGGATACTGACAAACGCAACTAATGAAAGAAGGCTCTGTCAGTCAGTGGAGAGGAAACTGTCACGGAGAAGAAATGGAAAGGGATCAAATTGTAATTGGATTTTCTATTGTGCCAGTTCAATTCGATTCCAATAGACGTACGTCGGACGCATTTCCCGATTTTAATATAAAAACACAATAATTCTAGGGGAAAATGGTCTATTAATAAATGACAAATGGAAATACAAATAATACCTAACGAAAATTACGTCTTCCAATTCAAAATTACTCTGAACGAGTATCAATGTTCCGAGGTCTAGGTGAACTCCTATACTGCACGATGTCGAATCCAAAAATGTGGCGGTAGCCATATTATATCAAATTTAAACAACATATGTACAGTTCAGAAGCAAACATAGAAACTTCAATATAAGTACAAAATATAGAAAGAATAACAATATACAATGATAAAATCTCAAATTGGAATCAAATAAAATACCAAAAATGTCAACAGAAAAAGTCCATCATGTCATAACAAAAATATGTAAACATGGAGGGATTTTCCAAAACACAAAACATTCAAAAAGGATTCTACACAGATAAACAGTAACTTCTAAGTGTCATGAGGTTTTGGGACATAAAAAAAACACCACAAATAATGGATCATTATTAATACTCTGGATAAGATTGAAGAAAGGTACAATAGAGAGAGAGAGCAATTAATTTCTGCAACAGAATAGTAGCTAATGTCAAGGCAGGCCGAATACACGGAATCAAATAGGAAAGTAAAGAGGAGTATCAGACCTGATAATCCAAAATATATGGAAGACTTAGCAACGACAACAGAAAAAGCTGTAATGAAAGAAACCTGAAACAACTATGCGGCAGAACGAAGAAGCTTGCTAAAAAATATACTAAAGTCCAAAAGTAAAGAGGTAGACCAAAGGGCAGAGTCAGACGAGAATCGGAAGAAAATATGAAAAGGAGGAATAGCGGATAGACAGAATTAGAATGGATGGCAAATAAGAGAACTGAATGGCGATTGCTGGTGGGTGGCCTTTGTTTCTTTAAGAATATTAGGCATGAGTAGGTAACGTCTACTTGTTTACTAAAAAATTTTTAATTTAGTTCGTTTTCTATCCGAACTGTTTTAGATGACATGAAAGTAGGGCTCGTTCCATCTTTCGTATCTCCGATTAATGTTAGGAATTAATATCAATCATATACATATCCTTCGATACTTCTGCGTAAATGAAACTGTAATGCGATACCATAACTGAGTATTATAAAAAGCACTGTGAAAACTGAATCCCTAAGTTCATAAGCTACTGTATACTCTAGACCTCACAGTTTCGTCATCTAAAGAGTTAAAATGGCTAGAACAGAAATTCTAGATTTTAGAAGCATAAAATTTCAGTCGGCAAGCATTGATCACTTTTGGATTTACTTTACCTACTTAGACTTGTTACCCCTGGTGGAGCAAAGGCCACCGATTTTTCAGATTAATCCATCATACGAATTCTGTGTGATGTTGAGTATCTTCTCAGTCACGCCCTTGTGTCGAAGAAGCCTCTATAATGTTGTCCTGTCCACGCCATCAAATGCTTTCTCTTAGTCAATTAAGTTGAAGTAGAGTGGTGAGTTCCATTCAACTGACTTCTCCTTTCACCCTTATTTGAGTAATATTTTAAGTGTCAAAGAAATGGAACAAATTGACTGCGTAATGATTGATCTGCTTCAAAATGCGTGCAATGGGACTGAAATTCTAGGAGAATACCAATAAACAAGGCAAAGGGAAGTTTGCTTTTACATTTCCCTTTGGAAAGTGGCTTTTAATCTATTACTACTAAGAAATCCATGTCATTAGAGTGACTGGAAAAGGTCATACTGGATTTTCAATGCTGTATTTTATGGCTAAGAGAAAAAGCTGAGTTATCTTGACTATTGTCATATACCGATAACTGGGTACATAACACATGTTGTTGTATAAACCTCGAGTTTTTACGGTATTCCTCTCTTTTCAAACAGTTGAAATAATCTACTATCAATTTCGTCTCAGCAGTCGATAGTTACCAAGTGGAGTCCACATGCATACTGACAAGTCAAATGATGCCAGGATCAAGCATATAAACAGACTGAAACTGATTGTTCAACTGACGGACTAACAAGGACAAATTTGAGAAGAGGAAAGTACTCCCTTTAGGCGAGATCAGAATAAGTACGTTCTGGTCTGCTACTACTCATTTGATAGTAATGTCCGAAAAAGGCTATCACGGCTGGAATATCTACGTCCAGATTGAGAATGAAATACGGTTTAATTAATTACCCCCAACTGATAGACACAAAGCTCTTCTTCAACAGCTACAAGTTCGATTCACTAGTATAACTATTTTGGCCAGACATACATTTCAAACGTCTCGATAACAATAAATGAATAAACGTCATCTATATGTTTGTCAGATATTGTCACCAACTCTGAGTTCCACCTGCTAAAGGTAGACTTGAGATACAGGGTGCCACATTACAATAAGTTTCTCCAGAAAAAGTCGCATATTGATAACTTTGAAGCGTATTTTAAGTCAGTTTGACAGTAGAATTTAAAAATTTCTGGAAAATAGGGTCATCCAACTCAATTTTCATCACGGAATTGCCGTGTTTCATCGAAGATAAAAAATCACACTAGACTGTAGATAATTCTACTCTTTACAATCAGTTAAGTGTTCTAACTCTTAGCCGACTGATTTATTTCAAATAACTACTTAGAATCTCTTATTTATTAAATTGCACTACCAGATACCTGTGACCGCATCAAAAGAACAAGAATTGAGCGCAAAGAAATCAATCGTTTTTGACTAGCTCTTGAAAGAGAGATTTAAAATTAGAATTATTCCTAAGGACTTATGACATTATTTTGTTCTAATGTGATAGCATTTATCTTTTTCCTGTCAAATATAATAATCTCCCTACTTGAAGATATCGAAGATTCACCTCTAGTAGATGAAGTAAGCTTGTCCGTGCACAACCTATTATACCGTGTGTTCCGATTTTGTACCGGTCTTTTTGTTGCATGCGTTACTGTCAGCTGTGGTAAGTAGCGTGCTTCTCGAAACAATAGCTTCCCTTCATATTAATATAAATTTACCTGTGAAAGCTATTGTAATAAATTATGTTCGTAAAAATACGTGCCTCGGTTTACTGGGATTATGATTCATGCCAAAACGTTTCATTCAGCTGAGAAAGTAAGTCTACCATATTTGACCTTTTGGTTACCATGGTAGATTTGATTGCTCATATCTCTTAGTAGTCTTACCAGTATATCTATTCTTCCTGTGACACTAGATCTTGAAAATAGATAAGCAAACCCTAAGTGATTATCCTCTATAGAAATAATATGTAGTTGTAGCACCACTTACAACTTCACCGGCACATAGCTCTCAGCCATTTAGAGCTTCATTGTGAGTCTTCTTTTTCACTGTGATGTCCCTGAGAGACAGCTGGTGCTTGGAATTTGCTTTTTTTTTTGAATTTCAGTAAAATATAAACCATATTTACTTAACTATGAAACCAAAAACATTTTGCTTAACTATCCCATGCTTGTAATTCTTGATACTGAATACTGTATAATACATTCTGTGTGTATAAATTTGTCTCAATATTATACTTGAAGTGCTTTTTCTTAAGTTCTCTTGATACCACTTCAGGAAGTTCAGTAGTAAGTGACGATTAACTTTATCTACACCTATCTCGTAGATGAATGTAACGAACGTCTTCCTAGTCTAAAAAACTCTGAACATAACAGGAAGATATACATCAGTATGTATGAAAAAATTCTGTCATTTGCCAGTGTACATGTCGAGATTTTAAAATTACTAGTGTTTGAAAGAAATACAATGTCGGTTAATATCAAAACCCGACTCTATAGACATCTATCTCCGTGCCATGCAACATTGCTGAACTGCCCCAGACAAGATGAACACAGGTGAGTGAATAAGCTGACTGATTCATTTACGTCACTATTACGTTCAGAGTCTTGTAATGCAACCCACTCATATTACTACAGCGTTCACGTGTGTTTTCTACAAGGCATAAAGGAAGTCCAGTCTTATTACAATTATTCTCCTCGACGTTCCATATTCAATACTTGTACTACAGTTTTACCCACTCATAATGATTATATCAGTTGGTATAATTGTTTTTCTCTATTATTATCTTACATTTTTGCTATCAAACTCAGCACTTGACTTTTCGCTTCCTTATTTTCATTTGGTTTGTCTAGTTTGTCTCTGAACTGTAAACTTAGCAAGTATACTAAATTCATTAATAAATACTCTATGCATGTATCTGAATCCAAAGTTAAAATGAAGAAATATGTATTCTCATTTGCTGCATCGGAGTTTGTAAATTTTCGTTGGATTGAATTCAAGTCTTTGGCTGAAATTGAACAACTCAATTATGCAGTTAGTGCATCCAAAGATGATTGGTTGAGACCATATATCATAATCGAGATGGAAAACGATGAAGATGTTTTGTCTATTATTAAACGTAGTGTACTAATTAAGTCTGCTTTTCATTTGTGGTGTGAAGCAGCAACTTTAACAGAATTAGTTGAACAAGTAAGTTTTGGTTAAAATATCATTGACCTACATTTATTTGAATAGGTCGCCAATCTTCCTGATAAGCTGGTAGATCCGTACCTAAATAGTTGTGATACTTTCAAAATAGTCTTAAGTTCTGCACATAAGAGGATTAAACAAGAAGAAAAAGTACCTATAATAGAAACTATCCTTGATGCTCATAGACGAGTCGACGCTCAAGTTTCTTTGTCATCACCAGATGTGAGTAATTTGTAAGTTATTTGTCGTAGTTTTCATGCTTAATGTTCTATGAGTATATTTTACTGATCATTCTTACTGATCATTCTAGTTTAGTATACCCTCACGTAATCCCATCAGTTAGTTACAACGTAGAACCTCGTACGTACGTATATCAGTTCAGGTTGCCATACCACATTAGCACAGAGACGCGACTGTCAGTTCAAATCCCATAGTGGTAGAGATAGTAGGAGTATTAGCGGTTATGGAGAAGATTAGGGTTCAAAGATATTATTCAAGAATTATAATTTAGTGAGATACATTTAGAAAGAGGAAGACATAGGTGTTAACAACTTCAGAAGATTAGAATTTGTGAGAAGACAAAGAATGGATGCAATTGCGCCAGTGTAGAAGAATTTGAGCCATGTCGTTCAGGGTCTCTAACCATTGGTTATTATTGTTTCGCTGACCCCAACCAGGTAGTCTACTCCTGCTAACATAACTGAGTCCACTTGTCAGTGACTTCATGGATTTTTGCCACGTAATCCCTTGACCTGAACGCTATTAAAAACCCCTAATCAATTTGTTATTTCATATGCATCATTTGGCATTAACACATCGCTTGCATTTCCAATTTTCAAGTTTTGTATTCAACGTCTGTCAGTACGCTGTAGTAGGATAGTATTTCAGGTTTACTAAAATCGTTCTCAAACAAATTCGTAAAACTTCATCAGGCTTATCTGCTCTAAAATTGTTCGGGTTTAGGTTATTTCTTTCAAATATATAGCTTATTCGTTTTTGTTATCGACAAATTACTCATGTGGTCTAATATTCTGTAACCATTACTTAATACTGTGAGCATACTATTAAAAAACACCTATTTAGCTGTTTAGCAATGTCGCTAATGTAATAACTGATCAGATGATCAGTTCAACGACTGATACTCTAAATCACTAAACCTAGTTTTATAGATACGTTTGATGAATAATATTGAATAACAGTATATTGTCAATCTGTCTTCTGTGTATTTCTCATTGAAGAGAAATATAATTCATGAAAAAGTGTATAAATAATCATTCAGAAGAGGGTTTTGCACTTTTTCAAACTTAAGAATATCGTGTGCTGTTACGGGTATGAGGGTGTTTGTCACTTCCTGGCTGCACACACCATGGAAGGTCGTTACTTGAGAGACCTGAAAAGGAAGATAGATTAGTGTTGGTCTTAGAGACCTGGGAGTGTGACCGCTCAGCCCAAAGGACAACTGCTTGAGGCCGGTCAAGCACGGCCTTTTTATGAAAGGTTTTTTGAGTATTAGCTCCGCTCTTCAAAGCCCTTAGTGGGCAACCTTACCGATGGAGACGGAAATCCGTGATGTACGGTGAGGTGTGACATTTTTAGGGTCGACCTTTTCTAAACCTTCCTTCTTTGTGAGAAGGCAGCATCGCTGCAGATACTGGTTGTCTGGGGGAAACACCTTACTGCTGTCACACCTCTCTACAGTTAGCAGTACGACTTCACCCTCAGACCTAGATTATCTGCCTTCAGTCTCATCGTACTCTAGTCGACCTGCCTGGCATGGTAGGGCCTGCAGGAACATATGTTCCAGACAAGTATAGCTCGGTTGGGTCATGACGATAGGCAAGCCCGACCACCACGTCAAGGTAGCAGCTACTGGTTTTAGGCTTAAGAATATCGGTTATAACTCACCTGCTACCATGCATTCAACCCGCTTGTAGTAATGTATTAGTTGCCTAGTGTAAGTCAATTATTAATTACTACTCATAGTCATCTAGGTTGTGCACAGATTTATGGTTTCTTACTTTTATTATCAATTACATTTTTAGCATCAAATCAACATTTTACTAGAATATACACCTAAAAATCTTGGAAAAAATACAATTAATTCTGGAGGTCGTTTATGTAGACTACTATATGGACGGCTAATTGGAAGTAGTATAAGAAAAAATATGATGAATGATTATCGTCTGTCAGAAAGAGCTCATTTAGGCAATACAACAATGAATGTGACGTTAGCAGCAATAATGGCTAATGTTGGACTGTGTCAAAAATCATCATTTGTATGGGATCCTTTTATTGGGACAGGAAGTACAGTCATAGCAGCATCGGTGTGGGGTTCATTCGGTGGTGGTTCAGACATAGATTATTCTGTACTGCATGGAATAGGAATGTCACCAAAAGCTGGTCAAGTAAGTTGCTTTTTTGTCCACTGTTTATATATATATATATCATCAAAGTGTCCAGTGTAAATCAGTATGCAATGAACTATTGATTCCTCATCGTTTTCTGCACCTCTTTAACTACTGTATCCCTAACCTTTGATCAATACCACGTGACAAATATACAACATTAATCGGAATTATGTTTTAGCACTAGTCACCTCTAATCATCTCTAAATTTTCATTGATTCACAACTCCATCGCTTCTTTCTACCTATCCTACCTCTTAGACCAGAAGTTTATAGCCAGTATCCATAAAATTTTCGTGATGCTCCAAGCAGACGTAGTTAATATTACCAAATATACCAGTTAACAATGACACCATATAATGCGAAAATACATGAGCGACATAAAAGTGACTTGAATAAGGCAAACTGTGATTAATAAACTAACAGTAGATTAGAAATAATAAATCACATAATCGTCGATAATGAGTTAATTGGAAGACTATAATAAAAGGTATATATATATATAATCTTGATTCCAAAAACCAATGGTTCACATGGGCTCCAAGATCCTGACAGGTTTAATAGTGTATGAACCTGTCGTTTGTCACGGTCTGTTGCAGGGTCACATCTAACATATGTGCGCTAGCTTGTGTATTAGGTCATTGGGTCAAAAACTCGGGGAGATTGACCTCTTAAGGTAACCACCTGTTCCGCTATGCGTAGTCAGTTTGGGTATCTGTTGTAACGCTTGCTTGAATAATTCCCAGGTAATTCCTATTGCTTAGTATTCTCTGACCACTATACACTGGACAAGTTCCAAAGAATCAAAACACGGTGGAACAGGAAAAGATTATATTCCAAATAGCAAGGTTAAGTGGAAATAAGAAGCTGAAGGCGAAGGCCAAATAGATACAACGTTAGTGTCCTTATAGTCTTTTCGTGAGAAGCTTCTGCATTGTAATTCACGTGATCGACTGGATTGGATTTAGCCAATCAGCATGCAGCTAACAGCACAAGAATTCTGTACCCTGTTCTCCAAGAATCGATCAGGCGCTGATTGGATAGGAAACTAGCGGGATCGTTATCATACTACTGAGTAGTCACATACTATTATAACAAAGCAGTTTTCAATGGTTTCTTAGTAAGTACTATTTCTTGGCAAAAATTTTCCCCGAAATTCATCTAATCTGTTTTGAGATGGTTGAGAAAATTTTTGGCTCAGGTGAATGATAATGGTAGGGTTTTATTTTGTGAGTTGGATGTTTTGGTTGTGGAGCTTTCATTGTTCTTCATCTTCATCAGCTCAAACTTCAGATGGAAGTGAAGTATTCGAAAATCACTACATCGAATATTGTGAACGTCCTCTTGAGCTTCGTCGGCGTGAACATCAATTGGCAATCAAACGCCAAGACAATTCTTCCCTTATATCAACACATACGGACAATTATGAACATACATTCGATTGGAACAATCTTGAAATACCTGATAGGGGGAGTATAAAGAAGAGTAGAGAATTTTTAGAGGCTTAGTACACTCAGGTCAATCAGCAATCAACAAACACGTCGACACTGACCGAATTCATCAACCAATCAGAAAAACCGCAAACAAACATTGGATGAAAAAAACAGATCAAAGGTGGACACGAACACAATAAAGGTGCAAACAACCTCAGGTTTAAGGTTAATAGCAGCCAATCAGGATCGAGGTCAACAGAACAAGGTACGATTCATACGTAGAGAAATTCTAAAACTTCACTTTTTCAATGTGAAGTTTGTGCTGATGAAAGCTCTACAACCAAAACATTCGCAGCTCAGAAAATGAAACTCCATCCACAAATTCATTTCATCAAATATTTGTCGAACATGAAATAAATTGACCACTTAATATCTTATCCATATACTCTCTGTTACTTGGTAACTAGTAATTAAATGTAAACAACTTTTCAGGTATATTCAGATTGTTTTCTAAAATTTTCAATTCTTAAATAACCTGCCTATTTTTTTAATTAGGAAAAACGTTGTGGTGAAACACTAAGATCGAATTATGAACAATACAAATTAGAATCACGTTATTTAGATGTTATGGTAGCTGATATTGTATCATTACACAAATTTCTTCGTATTCCTCATGGGGGTCTATTCGATGCGATTATAACTGATCCACCATATGGATTTCGTGAACGTAGCTGTAAAGTATCCGATCAACCAATTGAACGTAAACCTACTCTTGTCACTAAAAATCGACTAGCTGAAATTATGGGTGTCATGCATATTGGGTAAGTAAGTTAAATGTGTTAATCTGTCTGTCTATTAATGAATTTTGTGTTATAACAATTTTTTTTCTCATTTTAAGCATATCAATTCTTGAATTTTAACTGGATACTCTGCCAACACGATTGCCCCGACCGTAGCTGCCACCTTGACGTGGTGGTCGGGCTTGCCTATCGTGATGACCCAAACGAGCTATACTGGCTCAAGCATATTTCCCTGAAGGTTCTACTATGCCAGGCAGGTCAATTGGAGAACGATGAGACTAAAGGCAGCTAGGTACTCAAGGTCTGAGTGTGAAGTCGTACTGTTGACTGTAGAGAGGTGTGACAGCAGTAAGGTGTTTCTCTCAGACAACCAGCATCTGCAGCGATGCTGCTTTCTCACAAAGAAGGAAGGGTTAGAAAAAGTCGACCCTAAAAATGTCACACCTCACCCTACCTCACGGATTTCCGTCCCCGGCGGTAAGGGCTTTCAAAGAGTATGGGGCTAACACTTTAAAAACTTCCCATAAAAAGGCTGTGCGTGACCGGTCTCAACCAGTTGTCCGCTGGGCTCTGCGATCATATTCCTGGGTCTCTAAGACCAACACTAATCCAACTCCCTTTTCAGGTTCGTCAAGAAACACTTCCACGGTGTGAGCAGTTGGGAAACGTCAACCGCTCTCATACCAGTAAAAGGACTGAATGTACTCGATAGTTGAAGAAGTAACAGTGAAATGGTGTTCCAATTTCTGTGCAAGTTTAAGTGCTTTAAGTGAAATCTGTACAATTAACATTATTGCGTTGTGGATATTGTTGAGTTACTGTGTAATCATAAGTCGATCAACGTTAGACTACCACTAGGAACCTGGAAACGCTAAATGCTAGCATAGGACTCAGCAAGAGTGCATATTTATGACCCTCGCTGTTGGGTGTTTCGCGCGTATACGTCTAACCCTTAGACCACTGAGTTGGCATGCAACGACGGTGTTAATGTCTAAGTTCAATGGATCCAAGGTCATGCACAACCCTATCTACTGTCTTCGGTAAGCACTGCTTCATACCTGAAGACTGTTAAACTCCACTAGTCAGAACTTCTTATTAGAACTCGGGCAAACTTTCTCACAAAACTAGTCACTAGTGAGCATACAATAATTCACTTTATAGGATTGTGAAGATTGTTATGTTACTTTGAAATCATGAATCGATCAATGTTAGACTGGCTCAGTGACCTACAGTTTAAGCCTTTGCGTGCAACACCGGTCCCGCAGGCGGAGCTCGCGAATGCACACGGCCACCCAGTGGTTTTATAGAACTTGGTAACCAAACCCAAGGACCTTCAGTGCCACATGCGAACACTTAACTTATTGTCAACTAAGCTAGCATCCAACAACGTTACTGTTAGATTGTCTAGAATGTCTATGTGGCATGACAGGTGATTAAAAGATGACGTAAGATCGCTCACTGAAAATCGAATGATTTTGTACGCTGCTTCCACTCCATATAAAAAGCTGTCAATATGTACGGTTTTTCTTTTCACATTTACATTGTTCATTGTTCAAGAAATTGATTCGTATTCTAATCATAGTTTTACAACTCTCTGGAGGTTAAACCTCTGTACACCCACTATCATCCGGCTTAAGCGGTCAACTTGATTTCGATTACGTAAATAACCACCTCATTGTGAGAAGACGGCAAAATTTCCTTTTCAGTTAGTTGCTTTACGTGCGTGTAGTTAAATGGGAGAATTTAGTGAGAGTCAATTAACTCTCTATACCCTCGGACGTTTTCAGATATTTAAGGGTTTATCTATAAACATATATGCACATTTCCTGGTTAAGACTCATATTATACTATTGTTTTTTTGTTTATGATTTGTGATTTTAAATTCGGCGCGTTCAATCACATTAATCCATGTTGTACGTTAAATAGTCAATAAAAATCCAATGACACATTTAAATGAAATGTCAGATTAGTTATGGTAGGTGTAGGTTACCTGGTTGGGGTCCGCGAGATGAAAGTCACCGATGGTTACAGACCTTGAACGACATGGCTCAGAATCGTTTGCAGTGGCGCAGGGGCATCCACTCCTTGTGTTCTATCCAATTCTAACCTTTTGGATTCCTCATCACATCTATCTTTCTCCTTCTAAATTTATCTCACTGAATTATACTTCTCGAATCATATCTTCGCTCCCTAATCTTCTCCATTACTGTGTGGTGGTCAATTTTACTGCGTGTTCTTAAGCTTGGTAATTAGCTTGTCCAGAAAATCGTTACTAACTAGCGTCTGACAGTTTATATATCAGAAGGTGAACTCGTAGTGTTGAATACGTTTATTTTTGACACACCACAAAGCGAAGCGGAGAAGCAGTGAATAAAACGAATGAAGTGACGTGAATTGGAGAAGCGCGTTTGAGAAGGCTAATGAGCCAACTCCTAGGATTACAATGCGAACGAATGGGCGAAGGAAGCGAATGAACAGGCGAAGCGCGTTGGAGAAGGCTAATGAGCTAACTCAAAGAGATAGAGTGTGACTAAGAATATATAGTCAGACAAATATAAGACAGACATGCGACAAGCGAAATAGGCACACATGAATAAAAGCGACGAATAGTTGACAAGGTCAAAGACAAGTGGGACACATCATGTGAGCTCATCATACAAACCAGACAATAATAAGAACTAATGGTACATATAAATTGTTGCAGTACAAATGGCTTGGTTAGATAAATTAATCGAATGGGCTTAACCAAGTTAGATGTAAGCGAACTGGAATATATGTGGAGGCACTACAACTGCTAATACTTCTACTATCATTGTCACTCTTGGATTTGAACTGACAGTTGCGTTTCTGTGTGCTGATGTGATATAGCAAACTGAACTGATGTACTTACGTACAAAGTTCTGTGTTGTATCTGTCTGTTTGTCTATCTATCAGATTAGTAGTGATGTATTTTGTTTAACTTTTATTCATTGGTATTAACTATACAATTTGTCAATATTTACTGTTGCTTGTTGTTCCCTATTTTCTTGTATTTCTTTATGTACAGTGATGAAAATCACAAAGATGAAATGGATGCTGATTCTTTAGTGTTAGTACCACATGATTTACCACATTTCCCACATAAAGTAAATTGAACGTTTATTATTATTTATTATTATTATTATTATTATTATTACTATTCACTGAATGATTGAATTCAAGTTTATGGTGGGTGTTTCGTTCTCTAAGCTGCAGATGTTTTGATTGTGCAGTTTACATGGTTCTTCTGAAGAATTCGAATTTCTCCACGTTTGACCCGTAGTTTGTCTTGTTGACTTCGATCTTGATTGGTTACTGTTGACCTTAAACCTGTGGTTGTTTACACCTTTGTTTTGATTGTCTTCCCCTTTTGATCTGCTTCTTGATCTCCTGTGTCACCTATGATTTTCCTGATTGGTTGATAAATTGGGTCAATGTCGATGTGTTTGTTGATTGCTGATTGACCTGTGTGCCAAGCTTCTACATTGTTCCAATTGAATGTATGTCCATAATTGTCCGCATGTATTGATATACATCTCTGTGCTAATGTGGTATGGCAACATAAACTGATGTACTTACGTACGAAGTTCTACGTTGCATCTGACAGATTGATATAAGCGAAGAAATGTAGTGACGTTTAACTGCAACAGAATCACTTCAACCAATGTAGACCAAAAGGACAAAATGACAAAGGAAGAAAAACCAAATATCATCTACAAAACAAATTGCTCAAACTGTGAAAAACACTACATAGGACAAAGTGGACGACCTCTTCAGCTTCGTTTATGTGAACACCAATTAGCAGTCAAACTCCATGACGACGCTTCGCTCATATCAATGCACACCGACAAATATGGACATACATTTGATTGGGACAATGTGGAAACACTGGATAGAGGGAACACAAAGAACACTGGAAAATTTTTAGAAGCTTGTCACTTAAGTCAGTCAACAATCAACAAACACATAGACATCGGTCTAATCTATCAACAAATCAGAAAAATCATAGACAAACATAGGATCAATCAAAACAAAGGTACAAACAACGACAGATTTAAGGTCAACCAATGAATATCGAGGTTTGGAGAACGAGCTACAGGTCAAGCGTGGAGAAATGCGTATACTTCACTGCTTTACCTGAAGTTTGTGCTGATGATGTTGTTCAGCAGAAGAACAATGAAAGCTCCACAACCAAAACACCCCCTAGCTCAGAGAACAAAACCCCCCACCACAATCATCCTCGAATTCAAATTTTTATCTTTGTTGCAGTTTTCATTATTTGTATATTTTTGGTTTGTTTTCCTGAATATAATTTTTAATCTAAAAAAGTTGAGATATTTTAACTGGGTTGTTGAAGGGTTCGTCACTAGGTACGCTGGAAGCTATTACGAGTTCACCTTAGTCGATAAACGCCAACGAGACAATTAATCAGCGTCCAGATAGGCTACCTTGAATCCCAAGCTGTAAACAGAAGGCTTTGTAAGCGTAGAAGGTATATTATACAAACACCTAGCAATCACAATACAATCAATCACGCAACTCTCATTTATTTATACATCATAGAAACGTCCTTGGGACAGTTACGAAAATAGCACACTAAAATACACTGCAGCCAATCACAGCCAAGGATTTTTCTTGTGGGTCAAGGTCAACCGATCAGCCGATTCTGGCAAACGTGAAATCCAAAATAAGGCATTTAACAAGCGAGTTTTGGGGAACTAACATCCCCAACAGTCGTTTTTTTGTTCAATGTTTGAAACTGATTTAAAATTACATGTCCAATGTCTAGTAACCTGTGATCAGCTGACTACTACAAATGACGTCATGTATCGATGATTACGTGTAGTTGAAATTGTTTTAGAAAAAAAATTATTCATAATTTTATGACATGCGATGTCTGAGATACTGATTCATTCAACACTGGCTGCTTTGAACGAAAAGTCCTGAATGAAACAGAAGGTCTATGTAGTTACCGAACAGATATACAGTAATATATATATCTTGTCTACATGATTGGCTCACTATGTCCAAATCATACCATATAAAAGTGCAAGTTGTATTAATTTAGGATCTCATTCTATGTATCATGAAGGTGCAAGTGCTTTGATAAGAAAATTGAATTGACTTGTGGGGTAGCCAATCATTATTTCATTGAGCCCAACTGTAAATCGAACTATTTTGCAGTTTGCTAAATGAATTTTAAATGTAATACCTCTAACGCAGGAGACAGCCTTCCGCACTAGAACAAGTAAAACTGTCTCCCTATCCACATTTGGCAAATCAAAGTCCTGTAAGTGTTAAAATTGTACAGAAACTCCAATCAGGTATATATAACTTTTTGGAATATATAGACCGAAAAACTTCATTATAATCGTCCATTATCTGTAGACAAAAACAATGTTGCACAATCGTTCCATCATTGTATTCTATATAGATATTCCTCCAAATTATGTCATGCTGTGATTAGATGGAATTTCGTCAGCTTCTTGACCGCTTCGAGAAGCTTTATCGCACATTCTGTGATATCATCCTTTTGCAGAATAATTTAAAATGCTATTTTCTATCGAGTGGGGATAGACTCTGCACATCGGTAATACCAGTCATGTTCTCTTTTCATTTAGTCATTATAAATTGTACATATTATTTAGATGTAATTTTTCTTACAAAATCGATTGGCGATGAGACGTTTGCTAATGTTGTAAACTTGTAAACTGACTGACTTCACTAAACTTGACAAATTCATAGCAGGTTGTTGTAGAACGTTCTCCATTGTTCATGGCTTTCTGTATGTCAACCTTTAATAAGTACTGTGAATTGTAGGAGCTTTGAAGTGGCAGTTATCATCCCTACTTCATTCTGATTGGTTCTTCTCAGGTACAACGTTAAAATGGTCGATTGACAGTGGAGTTTATTCTTATCTCACATTTTAGTGTCTACTAAATAAAGACGAAACTACTAAAGATTCAAATTTGTATTTATATTTATGAAAAAATCATTACATAATTGCATTACGGGGTTGTGATGATTGTTAAGTTACACATTTGATCGAAGTTAGACACTAACATGGTTAGATACCGGCTCAGTGGTCCAGAGGTTAGGCGTTCGCACGCAAGACCGAAGGTCCTGGGTCCTAATCTGCGGGTTGCAGGAGTCAATCAGCCAGTTGCAATGTAGAACTTCGTACGTATGTACATAAGTTCAGGTTGCCATACCACATAAGGAGTGCAGGAGTCGTGGATGTGGACTTCCACTGATGAGTCTCATACCAGGACGAAATAGCCATCCAGTGCTTCCAGGTTTCTAATGGTGGTCTAACATTGATCGATTCATGATTTCAAATGAATGACATAATCGCTGTGTTTGTTTCGTTTTTTATTTTCCAAATTTCTAGGAAATTTATCCAGTGAATAAAATTTATCAAGATTTAATGAATTTATCAGCTTATTTACTGCGTCCTAATGGACGTTTAGTATTTTGGATACCAGTAATACGATCTGAATTTATGGGTGTTAAATCATTGCCTAAACATTCTAGTTTTCGTTTGATTGCAGCTTGTGAACAAGTAATTCATTTGTGTTATATATGAATATATATTTATTTGCCTCTGGTTATTTGTATATGCTGACAGGTCCGACAAGCGATGTTGTCTGATGTAGGCGTAGGCTGAGAGAAGAAAGCTAAGGGTAACGAGCAGACTAAAACATGGCACAAAATCATGAAGTGTTCCAGACAAGTGGCCTGTGGCATGTTAGTAGGTTTAGACTACCACCTGGTTGGGTTCTTCAAAATGTTAGTAACCGGTGGTTAGACACCTTGAATGACTGTTATGATGCTTCTATGCAGCTATTCCAAATCCTACCGATTGACCAAATTCAGATATTCCAGTACGACCCCAAATACTGTACCCAAATCTCCAATATATATCAGAATACACAACACCGTTAGATGAAGTTGTTTATTGGGTCGAGTACAGAAGAGATGAAGGAATGGAATAATAAGCTTTAAATATAATGCATATTTATTGTTAGGATATTCATCCAATATCCTGAGAGAATTATTGGTCAATTCCTATTGATTCATTCGTACTGGTGAATTTTATGGTCGTCCTGGATATCAATGTCACGTGCTCCAATGTTGTTTATTACTGGTTCTCCTGACTATCAATGTCACTCCAAATGTCGCTTCCTATTGGTCATCTTAACTGTCAATGTCACAGACTTCGATGATGTTTCCTATTCGACCAAAATGTATAAATACGCATTATCTGTAACGTTTTATGACCAGGACCTGGTCCCGGATCCCTAGTCTGGAATCCCGATTCTTTTCTCCACTCGAACCTCGTACTTTCTTGATGCTTGTGGCATACAGGTTCTATTTCATATCAAGTCTTGTCTCCTTTTACTCAATATGGTGGTTAGGATAATCGGATTTGAGTAGCCTGTCGTGTCGCCGGATCCTCGCTCTTGTTTTCCGATTAGATATACTCGTAATAGTTCAAGCATATCAAGCTGACATGCAGGCGTAACTTTTATAAAGTTAGGTTGAATAGGAAACAACATTGAAGTCTGTGACATTGATAGTTAGGCCGATCAATAGACTCAGACTTCTAAAAATAATTCTCTTAGTATATGAGATGATTATCCTAACAGATTACCTTTTTTATTCAGATCAACCTACATCTTCTCTTATTGTTCTATTAAAATTTATTGAAAAATGGGATTCATTTTTGGAAAAACAATGATTTGTTCTTTCTCTTTTATCAGACTTTAAATACTCGTAATTCAAGATATTTAATAGTGATGACCAAATTAGAAGAAACCAGTCAACATATAATCAATATTCAATCTGATGAAAATGATGATTTAATATTTCCAGCTGTTTATTCGAAATGAATAGAAAGAAAGAAAAAAAGGAGTTTATTTGTTTCTAATATATATATATATATAAACTATCACCGGTGTGATATTTCATTCCTCCATCATGTTATTGTTCCCTATTGTAAATGAATGAATGAATAAACCACTGAAGTTGTTTGTGTACATTTTAACACTATTTTGGTGGACAAGTTTATCAAGATTTTTTTTAGAAAAAAATTAATATTCGTTTTCTTACTGTATGTAAATAGTTAAAAAATGGTTGTTTTTTTTAAAATAAAGTATTAGATTACACTAATGGAAAGAACAACGTTGGTTTTGTTTTGATCGTTAAAACAAATGTAACTCAGGGTATTAAAACAAGAGTCAGAGTCACATAAGTTCAGTGACAGAAAGTGTTGGGGACGTTAGATCCCCAGAACTCACTTGATAAAGGTCCTAATTTTGGATTTTTTACGTCTTCGCATGTAAGTCACCTACTTGACCTTGAGCTTACATTTCCCAATGGGGAAATCCTTCACTGTCATTGGTTGATGGATTATTTCAGTCTGCTATTTTTGTGGCTCGCCCAAGGATGTTTCTATCATGTATAAAATAAGCTTGATTTATGAGCTAATCGACCTCGTATTTTCTGGGTGCTTGTAGAATACACTTTCTACGCCATATCAAGACTTTTTGATATAGTTAGCCGGGCCCTAGGACAATCGGATTAGAATAGCTTATCGTGTTACTGAGTCATTTGTCTTCGATCTCGTTCACCGAGTAAGGTGAACTCGACATAGTATTCAAGCTTATCAATTGACGAGTATATCAGAAAAATAGTAAGATTTACAATGATTATTAAATGGACAGGAATAGTATTTATTCAAAGCTGTTAGTTCAGTTAAAGCACATTAAAGTTTGCTGTTTTTTCCGTATGAAAAAAGTTCACTTCTCCGATTGGAAAGTTTTGCTGAACTGACAATTACCAGTATTATACAAATAACTGTCTTTCATAACACGACCACATATCATAAACTAACGTGTTTTTTGATTTTTATTTCCATTTAATTCTGTCATCGGACAAACATTAACGATATCCATGCCGTTGGAATAATATTTAGGCCATATTTCCAAGTCACTAGAGCCAGAGTTTTGAAATAGTTGCTCTGTAAAAATACATGTTCTACTGAACCTCAGAATTACTTATGTAGTGTGTTTGTTACCTTCCATTATGAGCAGTCTCTCGGAGAAAACAATGAACAAACATAAAATCTTGTCAAACATGACTAACTCATAAATTTATGTCTTACAAACAGACTCATACGCATCAATGACCACGAGTTATTGACTTTAATTTCAGACTGATATCATCATTTCATTTTAGGACTTTCGCATGTGTCACAATAGGTGGATTCGGAAACATTTGACTGATGTATTCGAGTTAAATGGTAGCATTTCTAACTTGTGTTGATTTACAACTATTAAATCATAACACTAATGCATCGCGAATGTGTATTCACCGCGATATGTTTTATGTGTAATCAACAGGGAATTTACATTTGTGGGTTGGTGTACTGTCGACTGTTACACCAGCAAACAAAAGCTTCGTTCTGCGAAATAATGGAACAAAGCAGAAAAGATAGTTCTGCAGATTTAGAAGCAGATCATCTAGGTATCAGGCAAAAATGTCTACACCAAACGTAACTAAATCATGTACTATATAGAGAAGATAGAAAATGTGCATCATAACAGACAAACTACTTGCTATTTTCCAAGTAATATATCTGAAGACATTAAAGATTCGAGCATTATGGTCTTTTGATTATCGGTGAAGTGATGATTTCCGGAACTCGAGTCCCAATCTAGACTACTGACAACGGCTATGGAGCATTATTAGAAACACGATGTTTAAAATGCTTAGAGTCTTTACCATTGTTTTATATGCACGTATACGAAAATACTAAGTCAGTCAACACGATTAATGTGTAAGAAAGATTAAATAACTCAACATAATGTGTAGAATACACAAATCGATAGTATGATAACAAGCGTGCTAGTTGTGATACGAACAGTGAATCCTTAGATCAATCTAAAACAACTAACCTCTTAGATATATTCGGAGAGCTTAACAAGAAGATAAAGATTATTAAAACTATGTGATGTAATAGTGCAGTACATTTTCAATAATCTGACCTGGACATATGTTTTCTAGGGGGTATATAGAAAGTCAGTAAAACCTTGACCATACATAAACCTAAAACTTTTTATGTATTCCAAAGTAGCCAACTGATAATCTAAATCTTCTTTAGTTATGGGTAGAACACTTAGGGGATCAGATCAACCGACCTTCAGCCACACTTCGGTTACACACAATCTCCAGTCAACCTGGATTGCAAGTGACTCTTATTGAAGTTGAAAAGGCTATGAAAAGAGTCTAAAGCAAGTGAGAGCAGCAGGCTCTAAGATGCGAACCACTGAAATTTCCAAGGATAGTGGTCCAGTTCTAGCGGTTATCAGCGAACCGTACTTAATACCATATGACTAACTTAAATCAACGATTGTCGCAGTCTGTTAAAAAAAGTACTCATGTGACAATCATGGAAGAATCAGTTTGACTGATATAATGTCTACAATATTAGCCTCAATAGTACTTCGACGCCTAACTGGAGATTTTGAAGAGCAGCTTCGAGGAAATCGGGCTGGTTTCAGACCTGGACGTAGCTATACCGACCAGATATTCACACTGCATCAGGTCCTGGAAAAAATACACATACCCAGACGTCACATAGTAATAGTATTTCTCGACCTTAAAGCGGGATTTAATACGGCTGATCATCAGGTTCTATGACAGTGTTTGACACTGAAAACGAGTACCAGAGAAATAAAATAACTTAATTCAAGCTGTCTACTCGGACACTATTGGTCGAGTGAGAGCTTATGGCGAACCGTCATCAGAACTGATTACTTCAAGTTATGTTCGTCAGGGTTGTCCATTTTCCTCATTCTTAACCAACTTTGTTCTACACATGCATTTAGTAATGACACTTTCATCGTCTGACTTTTCAAGAGTTGAACATTTACCGGGAGATTCACTTGTTTACTTAGAATATGCAGGTGGTATAGTTTAGTTCGTTGAAGAGGTTGGCATAATACAGTCTTCTGACCAGCCTAAGCAACAATGCAAACATGTTCCGGATGCAGTTCTTCCATGCGAAATGCAAAATTTTGCTTCAGGATTGGCTTACATCGGCCTTCGAACTAGTGATAGGAAGTGAAGTAGTAGTTGAATGTGTTGACCGTTTCACTTATCTTGTTAGTCTAATCAGTGCTGATAGCCTTGAGTGCAACAAAACCAAGTACGGATACAGAAGGTTTGACTACCTTCTGCGTGTCACTTATGCCGTAGGCGACATATCTGTTTGTTAACCAAAGGACACGTTTGCTGGTTCAAAATAGTTTGCTATAGCGCACTTGCATCAATTCTATTTTTTTCTTAAATTCTAATCTAGATTCCTCATGATGTGCGTTCTATGTTGTCGCTGACTGACTGTAGTAATATAGCGTTACTCAGTGTGGTGAATCTCACTTTATTCTCTTAAAAATAGAAATCCTGTGAACTAATCAATGAACACAAGAATGGGATAGCTACAGTTCCGAAGGAGACTGTTTTCTTGAAGTATAAACTAAAAAAACTGTACTGACAGTAAAATACTACTAAAAAGACAATTAAGAAGAGTAGTTCAAAGAATCGGAACTAGGCAATTCATCAACTCACTATTGGTTAGCTGGAAACAGACAACGTCTTGCTTTGTCAACTATCTGTTTAAAGGGTTATTGCATTATCATCGAACACTGACTCTTTCTACCAGTGTTTATAAATCAACCGTAACCCAACTGTTCAACATGCATGGCATCTCCAAATGACACCATCCATTAGAGCAGTATTTTGAGGAAACTTTACAAGCAAGACGAAATATGGGGATAACTCTCGTGGTAATTATTTTGATTCAAAATCACTGTCGTAGAAATTACTATTGATGTATTAGCAGTGACATTCTCTACCTCACAGAATGGCGACAGTAGTCTAGTGTTCGCTATGGATGAACAACTAATGGAAGCCTTACCATTCTCGTCTCATTGCAGATATCCAAATCTCACCATTATTGATACATAATTTAGCAAACGAATTCTATCATTGTGAGCAGTAAAAAACGTTAATGAGAGAATACTAGTGTTCTCTTCACACTCTTGTTCCATCACATAATGAGAGTGATTAACGTTCTAAATTTAATTAGGGTCATTGACACAAACATTTCGTAAACTTTCGTGTGAGTCATTCTACGCTGGTCAAGTTTGTAAAACATAACGCTAAACTAAGTCATTCAACGTTGTAACACACGATATACTGACAAAATTTCTCAAAAAAATACTTGATGATTCGTTCAGCAGTAACACATTTACATGTAACGCTGAATGACACTGACGAAGAAAAACACGATTGGTTAACTAGCAATATTGATTATTATAACCAACTGTACTCGAACAACACTGGTCGAGTGGAGCATATGACGAACTGTCATCGGAATTCTTTACTTCAATTAGTGTTCGTCAAGCATGTCCACTCTCTCCGTTCTTGCTTAAATTTTTCGAAGACATGTTTTTCAAATGCTAACCTTCTGAATTCCAAATCATCTCTATCTTTCTCTTGCTAAAGTTATCTCAATGAATTATACTTCTTGAATAATATCGTCGAACTCTTATCTTCTCCATTACTGGTATTACTTGTACTATCTCTGCCATTGTGGGATTTGAACTGACAGTTGTGCCACTGTGATAATCCGGTATGGCTGCCTGAACTGATACACGCACGTACGAAGTTCTTTTACCTTGTAATTGACTGGCAATTGCACCAGTGAACCATTCTACCGAACATTTGTTACGAGTTCTCCTCCGGCCAACTGTCTGGCATGTTCCGGTATTTGTTTTTCAATACCACGAAATCATCAGCAAAAAGATTGACTTCATCTGATCAACTGTGTCTTCTCTGTTTTGTTGATACAATATTTCGGATAACTCTTGGGACCCGACCCTCATTGGTTTATGGACATGTTTCATAGTCTTTCAACTCGAACATTTACACATAAAAAAACCTTTATCTCGAAATATAAAACAATCAATCCTAATGTTTCTTACTACTATACTACTGAGTATTTACTGCTGACACACATTTGACTTGACTTACTGTGATAACACTTGCTAAGTGGAGAAAAATTTGAAAGTTTATCGATTAAAATTTTTTTTGTTTAAATCAATGAATAAAAGTATCAAAATAATTATTTACATCAATATTAAATGATAATAACAATAATCATAGTTAATTTTATATACACAAATTATCAAAAAACAGAAAAGATATCAAAGATATATAAAAGCACAAGACACGTTACTTCAATAAAGATAATAATTTCTCATTATATTCCGGTGGAATATCAATACAAGTGATTTGTTCAATGGCTGTCTGATATTCAACGAACAATTTATCTTTACGCGCCTATTTCAAAATAAAAACAAAAAGGGATATCGACAAGAATTTTTAAAAGAAAAACTATACATAGGAGAAATCATGAATCGATCAATATAACACATTAGAAACCTGGAGGATGGTCGTTTTGGTCCTAATGTATGGGAGACTAATCAATGGCAGTGCGCATCCACGTACTCCTGCAACGTTAACAGCATTGATCGATTCATGATTTAAAAAAAAGTAACTCGACAATAGTCTCGCGTGCTGTTACGGGTATGAAGGCGGTTGTCACTTCCCGGCTGCCTACACCGTGGAAGGTTGTTTCTTGAGGAACCTAAAAAGGAAGATAGATTAGTGTTGGTGCGTGACTGCAGAGCCCAAGGGACAACTGCTTGAGGCCGGTCACGCACGGCCTTTTGATGAAAGGATTTTTGAGTATTAGCTCCGCTCTTAAAGGCCGTTGATGGGCACCCTTACCCAAGGAGACGGAAATCCGTGAGATAGGGTGAGGTGCGACATTTTAAGGGTCGACCTTTTCTAACCCTTCCTTTCTTGTGAGAAGGCAGCATCGCTGCAGATGCTGGTTGTCGGAGGGAAACACCTTACTGCTGTCACACCCCTCCATCACAGTAAGCAGTACGACTTCGCCCTCAGACCTTGGGTAGCTGCTTTTAGTCTCATCGCTCTCCAATCGACCTGCCTGGCATGGTAGAACCTTCAGGAACATATGTTACAGCCAGTATAGCTCGGTTGGGTCATCACGATAGGCAAGCCCGACCACCACGTCAAGGTAGCAGCTACCGATTGCCTCGACGAGCTTTGTTTTGTAGTGTAGGAATAGGTTGGAAAAAAGCCAGGGGCGGCCAAACCAAAACATGGCACAAATCCATTAAGTCATTGACTAGTGGACTTAGCCATGTCGGTAATTGTCGACTACCTGGTTGGGGTCCGCGAGATGATAATAATCGATGGTTAGAGACCTTGAATGACATGGCTCAAAATCGTTTACAATGGCGCAGGTGCATTTATTCTTTGTGTTCTCTCAAATCCTAATCTTCTGGATTCTTCAACACCTCTACTTTTGTCTTTCTAAACTTTTCTCACTGAATCATACTTCTTGAATAATATCTTCTAAACCTTACCTCTCCGATTACTTCTAATACCCTTACTACCTCTTCTACTATTGGATTTGAATTGACAATTATATCTCTGTGCTGATGTTGTATGGCGATATGAACTGATGTACTTACGTACAAAGTTCTACGTTGCATCTGACTGACTCTGACTGTTAGACCAACATTAGAAACCTAGAAGACGGCCATTTTGGTCCTAATATATGGGAGACTTATCAATGGCAGTACGCATCCACGTACTCCTGCAACGCTAACACGATTGATCGATTCATGATTTCAAAAAAAGTTACTCAACAATGCAAATATAACTTAAATCAACAGCCACATATTCAAGCTTTATGCATTGAACTTCTAATAGCAATTATATTAATCTGACAGACATTACTAGTTAAACGTTCTCATAAATAATAAATGAATAAATGTATTTTAGTTTACTGCTTCATAATTTTATGAAGATTGCTGTTTTACATTAAAATCATTTCAATGTGAAACAACGATCTACATAAAACTATAATGCAAAAAATCAAAAAAAAGTGCTCCCTTGTAAGTAGTTTAGTGAGCGAATTCTCAGAGTTCTAGCGAGATGTGACGAGTGGAGTTCAACTCTGTCTAGTGTGCGCAGTAACTACCGAAGGAAATCGGTAAAGTCGCGCAAAATCCCTAGATCAATCAGAGTTAGACATTAACACTGATGGATGGCGGCTTATTGGTCCAGCGGTTAAGCGTCCGCGTGCAAAGTCAAAGGTCTAGGGCGAGAATGCTGCAAGTTGCAGGTGTCGGTGCGCACTGCTGATGAGTCACATACCAGGACGAAACCGCTGCCTAGTGCTCCCAGGTTTCTAATGGTGGTCGAAAAATTATTTTTGCATTATTACTTCATTGTACCAGGAAGCTGCTACTTCACAAGTTCATTGATTATTCGATTAAAACTGAATTACAATCTATTGTTTATGTAATTTTATCCATAGAACTGTACCTTATCCATTATTATTTCCCATTGAAATCACGAACCGTTCAAAGTTAGATCAGCAGTGGACAGTTGTTTCATTCGAGCTTGGAACTTTTCAGTAGTGCGCATTCATCGAAACCAGAAACCTTCGGCCTCGCATGCGAACGGTTAACTTCAAAATCGCTGAGTCGGTATCCAACACTGTCTAACTTCAGTCAATCCAGGTTTTCAATGATGGTATAACACTGATCGATTCATGATTTCAGTGAAACTCAACAATCTTCACAATCATACTGAGACTCATCAGTGACTAGGGTGAAGAGGAAATTTCCGGAATTCTAGTTAGAAACCATGACCAATGAAGCTAAACCGCGTAGGGTGCGAGGCAGTTACCCAGCGAAGACAAAGGATGTCAGTCACGTAATATCGATTTCCGGCATGTCAGGTCGTGGATGAATACTGTCAAAGAATTTTATGCTATAACGAAACGACCACCCAATGATTTCAGGTTTTCAATGGTAATCTAAATGTGATCAGTTCATAATTTCAATTAAAATTCAACAATCTCTAAAACCTTCAGCTAACCGTAAGACTACTACTCCAGTACCTTGAACTTATGGATGCACATCCCAAATTCTACATCGCATATGAATGACTGACGAAACAGGTTTATCCTTCTACAGTGTGGGCAGCTGGGAAGTGGCATGCGCCTTCATACTCGTAAGAGCTCAAGAGACCGAATTGATCCTCTACCCCTCGCGCCACTGATTTATGCTGCGTCTCCAAAAGGCGCATACAGGATCCAAGTAGCGTCATTCACTTGACCTTATCATGTCAAAATAAAGAATCAACTCGATTTACTCTTTATGTATCTGGAAGCCTTGATGCTGCTTTCCGTAACCCTATTAGCGTAGATATAGCATTAAATCCTCGAGCAGAACTAAATCCCTTAGACTGGATCCCAGTAGATAGTCGCTTTTACGGTGTCCGACTAAACAGGACAGTAAGAACTCGTATAAATCAGGAAATTCGCTGTCGCCTCTTCGTCATTTCTGCTTACGCTCCCACTGATTGCAGATCGGATGAGGTAAAAGATGAAAACAGCTCTATCATACATCAGAAATGTTAAGTTTATAAGATTTAAAAAATAAACAAACTAAAAAACCCCTAATTAATAATGAACACTGATCTACCAGACTCCTTATCTTTTATCTCTCATAAACATCATACCCACTATAAACCATCGTTTGGTCACACACACACAAGACCAAATCAAATAATCATTCAGAAAACAATGACACATACACATACTTTCAACACTGATGGTGCCAATTGACTAATTCCCAGTCTATGCTTAGATTTAGCTGTCAGCGAATGAAAACAATCAGTATTGTAACTGTTTTCATGTTTTGTACAAGATGTTGTTGAATGAAGAAGAGGTAGTCCAAATTTGCTTGTTTCAACACAAGATGACGAAGATGTCGGTGATGATGAGGAGGATAACATGTTATCAATTGGTGTAACAATACATAATGGGATTTTATCATTTAACGCATTTTGAATCTAAAAAAAAAATTTTTTTTAAAAGAAAAGAGAAGGAATAATAAATAGTTATTGAGAATTTTTTAGCAGAAAAAAGAGGCGAAAATATTAAGCTTCATGTTTCACTTTACTTGTATATATATATTGATCAACTTTTGACTTTATTTATCAATAAGGGGACATTGTTGACGTTCATGTATGAAAACATGAATCGATTTATTGTTCGGTCACTAATAAAAACCTGGAACCCTTATTGGACAGATGGATTCGTCCTAGTATAGGACAACTCGTCAGATATAACTAGTGGAGATTCAACTATGTGTGTGTGATGTAGTGAGTTAGTTACCCACCGACGAAGACAATGCATGATCGTAGCGTAATATATCGTAGTTTCTAACTAATGAGGGCGTAGTCGCACTGCTGACTGCAGAGCGGTGTGACAGCAGCAACGTGTTTCCCTCGGACAACCAGCATCTGCAGTGATGCTGCCTTCTCACAAAGAAGGAAGGAAGGGTTAGAAAAGGTCGAACCTAAAAATGTCACACCTCCCCTAACTCACGGATTTCCGTCTCCGTCGGTAAGGGTGCCCACTAAGGGCTTTCAAGAGCGGAGCTAACACTCAACGTCTCATAAAAAAGCCGTGCGTAACCGCCCTCAAGCAGTTGTCCCTTGGGCCCTGCGGTCACGCTCCCAGGTCGTTAAGACCAACACTAATTTACCTTCCTTTTCAGGTTCCTCAAGAAACAACCTTCCACGGTGTGGGCAGCCGGGAAGTAACATCCACCCTCATAACCATAGAAGCACACGATGATGATGATGATGAGGTTCTAACTAAATTACTCTAACAATCATTTTGATGAAATAATTTGATTTATATACGGACAACGCTACCTCTTGCAATATTGTTATCGTTTAAATTTATCTTATACACATTAGTTTGTAAGTTAAAGTCAGTCAATCAGTCAGCCGGTTATAACGTAGAACTTAGTACGAATGTGCATACGTTTAGGTTACCATATCACATTAGCACAGTTCGAATCCCATGGTGGTAGAGATAGTAGAAGTATTAACTGTGATGGAAAATATTACCGTTCAAAGATATTATTTAAGAAGTATAGCTCTGTAAAATAAATTTAGAAAGAGAAAGATAGAGGTCATGAGGAATTCAGAAGAATATAATTTGAGAAAACACAATGAATGAATGCACCTGCGCCATCGCAAATGATTTTGAGCTGTGTCATTCAAGGTCTCTAATCATCGGTTACTATCGTCTCGAGGAATCCAACCAGGTAGTCTACATCTACCAACATGACTCAGTCCACATGTCAGTGACTACATGGATTTGTGACATCTTTTGGTTAGTTAGTTTTTAATAGTATCGGTAAGTATCACAACTAAACGCACACTATTTACCCATACTTTTATTGAAAACATTGTATTCCATGAGAAAACTCACTTTAGGAGAAGTGAAATGTAAGGATTCTTGAGAATTTGAATCATCGAATAAGGATTGACTATGACCATGTGATGTCATATGACATGGATTGCATTGTTGACTAGGTGAGGTTGATCGTCTTGGTCGTTTATGTTCTACAGAAACTTTCGATTGTATTAGTTGAGGTGTTAAGCGAAATAGTCCACTTAAATAATCAGGACCGTTAAGAATCATTTCACGATCTAATGACTGTTGAATATGATTGATACAATTGACAAGATCAAGAGAGCATGTCTTGTTTTCCCTACTTTTTACATGTATTACGTCATAATTCATCATCATCATCATGTGTACACCGCTAAAATTGGAAAAATGTTAAAAACGATTACCGATCTGACCCATAAAGAATGATTTTCACAACACTTAACATGACAAATTGCTTGCTTGATACACACACAGACGCTCAACGATTTGGTCAATAAAAAAAGTAGTGACAACTAGAATATGTTTCATAGTAAGTCATACATACATACTACAAAATGAAAGGTAAATACATATTACAATATCGATCAAAATATCTATCTTCTTCATAACTAAATGAAAACTTTGATAAAGCATGTCATAATCGGTGGTAAACTGTATACGTTCTACTTTATGAGTGAGAAACATAGTCAGTAAGATTAGACGATATTCGTAGGTTGCTGGTATTCGAACATAGGTGTCTTCGAAGCATTGTCCGTATATCCTGTGGCCATCGAGTAAGCAATGCTAGTGTTAGAAATCGGGTACCAAGTGAGGATGGCAGATCAATTGACGAAACTCGCCAACTGCCTCGACGAGCTATGTTTAGTGGTGGGGGAGCAGAATGAAACATGGCACAAATCTAAGGAGTCACTGACTTCTGGACTGAGCCATGTTAGTAGGTGTAGACTACCTGGTTGGGGTTGGCGAAACAATAGTACCTGGCGGTTAACGACTCAGAATGCAATGGCTCATGTACATCCATTCTTTCTTTCATCTCAAATTATAATCTTCCAAATTCTTCATCACCTTTCGTCTTACTCTTTTTTTTAAATTCATTTTGCTGGATTATACTTCTTGAATAATTTCTTGGAACTCTAATCTTCTCCATTAGCGCTAATACTTCTACTACATCAACCACAATGGGTAGTGTGGCAACTTGAAATGATATACATACGTAACAAGTTCTACGTTGCAGCTGAATGACTGACTGGTAAACTTTATCATATTTATCTAAGCAGATTATATAATCGATATAAGACTTTGGAGACGGACAGGTAGAGATATTGTTTGATGTACTGTAACAGAAACGGTTGATTATATCTACAATCATAAAAGGCTAATGATTACACTTTAACACCAGATGCATTCAATAGATAAACTAATCAAGTAAGTTACTTGAAAAAGCCTTAGGCGCTGAAAACACATAAACCGTAATAGAGATGCTATTGAAATAAGTCACGCGACTTTGTACATCTGTCTAAAACAGATATCAAATTAACAAGTCGATAAAACAAACCATCAGTAATAGTATGTTGAAAGGTGTATAAATAATGGCAGATTTAACATCTAAACTAATCAGAAATACATTACAATCTAACAACAACAACAACCTAACTTAGTTTACTGAATTATTGTGAGCGGCTGAGAACGAAAAAATAACCAAAATACTAAAAAGGTTAGAAGTAGTGATATTACATAACGAAAAGGTCTACGGTACATTCAGAGATTAACCAAACGCTAACCCACAGTCAATGTCAGTTAGAACGTAGAACTTCATACATAGGTACATCAGTTCTGATTGCCGAACCTTATTAGCACAAAGACGCAACTGTCACTTCAAATCCAATAGTACTAGAGATAGTAGAAGTATTAGCAGTAATGGAGAAGATTAGGGTTCAAATACATGATTCGAGACGTTTGACTCAGTGACAACTTTAGAGAAAAAAAGAGACATGATGACGAATTCAGAAGGTTAGAATTTGAGAGAACACAATGAATGAATGCACCTGCGCCATTGCAAATGATTTTGAGCTATGTCGTTCAAGGTCTCCAACCATCGGTAGCATTCGTCTCGCGAACCCAAAGCAGGTAGTTTACATCCCGACCATAGGTGCTAACCTTGTACGTGGTCGGGCTTGCCTATCGTGATGACACAACCGAGCTATATTGACTGCAACATATGTTCCTCAAGGTTCTACCATGCCAGGCAGGTCGATTGGAGAATGATCAGACTAAAAGCAGCTACTCAAGGTCTGAGGGCGAAGTCGTACTGCTGACTGCAGAGGGGTGTGACAGCTGTAAGGTGTTTCCCTCAGACAACCAGCATCTGCAGTGAGGCTGCCTTCTCACAAGAAAGGAAGAGTTAGAAAATGTCGACCCTAAAATTGTCACACCTCACCCTACCTCACGGATTTCCGTCTCCGGCAGTAAGGCCTTTTAAACAAGAACAAAACTAACACTTTTAAAACTCCTCACAAAAAGGCCTTGCGTGGCGGGCCTCAAGCAGTGTCCCTTGGAATCTGCGGTTGCGATCCCAGGTCGTTCAGACCAACACTAATCGACCTTCCTCTTCAGGCTCTTGAAGAAACACCCTTCCACGGTATAGCCAGCCAGGAAGTGACAACCACCCTCATACCCGTAACAACACACGAGACCGAATTGGTCAAAATCAAATCCTTCCTACACCCCCTAATACCTCTCTCATCTCCTCGACCAACCTTTCTTTCGATCGTTTATCACCTCACGCCACTGAGCTCTTGAAACGTTATTCTTGGTCTCTTGAAACCCCGTACTAAATTACATATAGGAGCTTTTAATGTTCGGACCCTATGCCAAATAGGGCAACAGGCTTCATTAGCTAGAACTCTGGAATCAGGGGCGATCGATGTATGTTGCGTCTCAGAAATGCGCACACAGAATTCGAGTAAAATCATCAATTTGATTTCACCTAGTGCAGACAGAGACACAACAAGGTTTACGCTTCGTGTTTCTGGTGGCTCTGAGGCTGCTTTCCGGAGTCTCGCTGGTGTAGGCATGGCATTGAGTTCTAGGGCAGAACTAGCTCTAATAGACAGGATCACAGTAGATAGTCAATTGTGCGCTGTCCAACTGAACGGAACAGTGCGGACTCAGAAAGATAGGGACACTCATCGTTGCCTCCTCGTCGTATCTGCCTACACCCCCCACTGACTGTAGTTCAGATGAGGTGAAAGATGAGTGTTACAGAAAAATTTCGGACCTCCTCCAAAAAATTATGCACTCTGATGTAGTAACAGTGGCTGGTGACTTTAATGCTCAAGTGAAAAGGAAAGACACCAGGGTGGACCTTATGGCGTCGCAACTCAAAGAACAGATAATGGCGATCGTCTGCTGCAACTACGCTCAGATAATCGCCTATTCCTAGCAAACACTAAATTTAGGCATAAGGAAAAACATCTCTTGACCTGGCGGTCCCCGAAGACGACCCAACGATGGACTCAACTAGGTCACATCGCTACAAGCCATCGGTGGGGAGGCCTTATTGAAGACTGCCGCTCATCATGGAGCACTTGTTTAGACTCATACCATACTTTAGTGCGAGCGCGTATTTGTTTGAAGCTAAGTGGACGTAGGAAAGATATCGCATGGAAACCTGTTACTGCTCTACTTAATGATAATAAAGCTAGGAATACATTTCAGGAGCAACTAGAAAAACAGTTAAGCGGCCATATAGTAATTGATGCCCACCCTGAGGCCGCTTGGAATGATATCAAAAGGGCTGTGGAAACATCAGTGATATCTGCTAGTAAGGTTAACCATAAGTCTAGGAAGAAGCCGTGGATCTCAGTAGCATCTGCCGAACTGACAGACGCTCGAAAACTCATCCAAACCGGCTCTGAACATGACGACAAGCGAAGTAAGCTTTGTCTCAGGCTGATAAAAAGCCTACGCAATGAACCCGACCGTAGCTGCTACCTTGACGTGGTGGTCGGGCTTGTCTATCGTGATGACCCAACCGAGCTATACTGGCTGGAACATATGTTCAAAACAGTGGTTCCCTTTGATGAATTTGGACAGAGAAATGAGAAGACATATTTTGTGAGATAGTACCATTTCGTGCTTTCTCGTCAGTCACATATAAGCAACATGTTATTTGTGTAAATACAGTTTTGAAGATAAGGTCAAAATTTCTTATTTAGCATGACATTCACTCACTAGAACCATGGTAAACAAAGGTCAACATACAGTTGTTTTTGGACACATAAAGTTGGACTTTTCCGACCAATCAAGATAGCTTCAAGTAGTTTCAGTTTGTGTGGGTTTTGATGACATGTCACAACTTTAAAGGCTGATTTTGGGTCAATTTGATGACCACTCATCATTAGATGTTTTGCAATGGACGAGGCTGGGTTTCTTGATCGATTTTGAGATGAATCATGGATTTGATTAACCATCTTGGAATATGTTCCCCTATCCTGTCTTCCAATCGGCGATCTGTCCTCCCTAAGTAACTTTCTCCGCAGTTACATGTGAATTGGTAAATACAGTGGGATTTGGACTGAATCGGTCTTGGAGACTTGATTGGGGTAACTGAGATCAATTGAGTTGTTGTGATAAGCCTCAGACTAGCTGCATTGAAGGTCTTTTGTATTGCAGCTGCAGTCTGTTTGGTTGTAATTTACACGCAATGATCACCGTTGAAAGGTAACTGTAGGTACACTGGTTTCTTGGGCACATAAGTTGCTATCAGCTTCGTCGTAGTTCTGTTCTGATGACCAATAAACGTTTCGGGATATCCGTTTGATTCAAGTGTCTCAGTAATGAGCTTGAATTCGTCGTTTAATGTATCAGCAGTGCAGATTCTACTTGCTCGAGCGAATAAAGTTTTGATAACAGAACTTTTATATTGTATGGGGCAGAAACTAGTGAAATGGAGGTACTGTCTCGACCAGGTGGGTTTGCGGTGTACTTTTCGTCTGATTGATCCGTCTGGACGGCGATGAAGCAGGATATCGAGGAAAGCTAGTTCATTATTCTTTTCTTCCTCATAAGTGACTTTCAGATTCGGGTGAATCGCATAAAATGAATTATTGACTTGATTAATGTCTGTAGAATGTGGTAATATGACAAGAATATCGTCGACATATCGATTGTAAAATGTAATACCATCGACGAAGTGACTCACTTGCCCTTCTATCATTCCCATGAATATGTTTGCTAAAACAGGTCCGAGAGTGCTTCCCATAGCCACTCCATCGATTTGCGTATATGCTTTACCTTGGAAATAGAATTTTATATTCTTTGTGCACAGCAAAATTAGATCTCGAAGATAGGTAGTCGGAATGGGTATTCTTA